GCTAGCTTTTGATGTGAGAGTCTCCCAAGATTAGTATGTAGGAATTGACATCAAAAGCCAACCAGCAGATCTCCCAATTGCAACCATGCGGGGTGGATGGTGAATTTGCAATGTTCGTTTAGAGCTAGTAAGAGACTAGTGCACATGGTCGGCCCATGTAGTGACTGCGGCTGTGGAGGGTGGTGGAATATATATATTTTTTGTCTTAGGTTGTATAATAAGACACAATCTTTTAGCATCTTTTAACATAATTTACTTTTTTTTTGTACTAACATCCCGGTATTGACGAGATAGAAAAAAGAGAGACGGAAGCAGAGCAGCAAAACGGGCCTAGAACTTGAGAGACAACAAAAGAAAAGGAACAAACGAAGGCATAAAGAACTAGAGCAGGAAGACGAGTTTCGGTAACCACATTAGATCTCAACTAATTTAAAATTGAGTTAAATCAGATTCCATTAGAAAGGAACATCTCCTAACGTTTGTTTCCTTATTCATAAGATTTGAATTCAAGAACTTATTTAAGAAAAATCGAATTCATTCCACTCGAATTAACAGGTTTGTTTATAAATAATTTACTTATATGCCTTACAAATTAAATTTATAATCTCTTTTACTTTCACACAAAGTAAATAATCATATATATAATCATTTAGGTTGTTCGCAGAGTGATTAGATATTACAATATTTACAATTGCCAGGAGCAAGACAAGGACCCCGTAGTACGAAATTCAATGTAGTGTGGGACTTTATATGGCCTTGGGTTCTAGGGGAGATGAAATTCCGCGAAAGCCGCTGCATGTTGAACCGAATTAGATTTGCCAAGTACATGAGACCGTTAAGAATTTGATTGTGAACTTTAGAACTCTCTTGATTGTATTTATCAAGAAACTCCAAGATTTTGACACTATTGAACTCTCTTGCTCACCATAGATAAGTGGACCAATTGCATGTTTATTGAAAAATGATCAGTATATCTTTTGATTTGACACATATCTTAATACTCGTCTGATTCAGCCTTTAAAATATAATAATATAAGAAACCAATAATCTAAGTAATTAGTGGTAATTTCATTTTATTGGAAGTAAGAAATTCTGAATTTGACTCGAATGGGGTGAGATAAGGGATGTAGGAAAGTTGTCTCTAATTGTGCAACCAAAATAATATATATATAATATAAGTACAATCGATTCAGTTAATTCTTATATATTATATGCATGACTATATCTTTAAATTTATCTGTATTTAATTTTATACTAAAAGGTAATAATTTTTTAATAAGTTTATTAAATTATATGTTGAATCAAAAGATATACCAAATATTGTCCCTCATCCCATGGTCTCTACTTGACAATTTGATATAATTCAAATTATAAAACATAAAACTCATATAATGTAATCTATATATAGCAAATATATATAAGCTGAAGTAATTAATATACATTTTCCATATTTTTCTTAATTGTGGAAGCATTAATTTCCTTTTTCCATGCAAATAATGATGGCATATATGATAGAATATAATTTTTCGTTTTTTCATCCTTCACCCCACTCATTCTAAACTTCAAAATCAAAATCTTCAACTCAAGCTCTTTATTGCTTAACAGTGGAAACATCCTTTATATTAAAGGTATCATACAGTTATTTGACAAGATAATGAAATGAAAAATAATTGATATACTTTTTAATTCAATATATTTACCAACAGTTACTGATTCAGTTATTAAAATAATCAATTTTGAATTTTTTTGCCTTTAATTAAAATTTAAAAATAATAATTAATATCAACAACCTAACTAATTTAGTGGTAATCTTTTTCTCTTGAAGGTATAAGAAATCTTGAATTCAAATTGTACAACATATGTGGAATAGGTAAGGGATAACAAGAGGGTTGCTTTTTATTGTGTAACTAACATAAATAATAATAATAATAATAATTTCTTAATAAATATATATTGTAAAGTATACTAAACTGAAATGTATATTAATTATTATTCTAACTAAATATCGCACGTATTCAATTTGTCCCTCTAAAAGTCTCAAACACTACGGATCCTCCCATTTTTTGAAGTGGTGTCGTTGGCCAAGGAATGAGATTGTCTTCAGATAGTATCAGTGGGATGAGGAAAAATTGTTTGATTTTATACGAGCCAAGTCTTTCGCATGACTAAAGGAAAGACACTTCGTATACCATTCTTATTTAGTGATTAGGTCCAGTTTCTACATCTTCATCTAGGCAGGACTAGTAGTTAAGATATTATTAAGTTGGTCTCTGTTTGTAAATTCTCTGATATATAGTGGACTGAAATATCTCTTGTATTTCTTTAATATGTCGATAAATTAAAAAAAAAAAACTCTATATAGTTATACTTATAATATTATGTAACATTATAAATTTATAATTATAACAAATTATTATAAAATATTATGTAATATTGTAATTATAAATTTATAATTTTATATAACACTATAATCATATTATTACACATGAATTTCAAAGATGTCGGAATAATAATAAGAGCCCAACATTCTCAGCAAACCCAGTAAAGATTAAGCCCAACAATAATAACAAAATTATGTGACCTCAGGAAAAGATGGAGAAAGAAAAGGTTAATTGTAAACATAAATAAAGAGAAAAAACAAAGTTAAAATGGTAGATTAATGATAGATGAATTGAAAAGAAAGATAGAAATTTCCCTAAGGGAGAGAATGGCCAATAAGAAATCTTAATTAAAAATAAATAAGAATATTCTAATTTCTCTTCTGAAAAAAAAGAAAAGAAAAGAAAAAAGAATATTCTAATTTCTAAGTTTATTTGGGGTAGCACAAGAAAGACTCTCCTAATTAGAGTCCGATTAGGAGAGTTCTTTAGAAAGTTCCATATAGGCCGACCAAAGAAGAAAAAGAAAATTCCATATAGGACTGAACCATAGGATTCAGACTTATCCACATTTTACTCCTTCTCCATATAGTAAAATTCTTCTATCTAACTCTCAGGTTTTTCCTTCCATGTTAATTTTAAATCTGTGTTTTTACTTCTCTGTTATCTTTGCTTTATCTAACAAAGGTGTATTTTGTCCATCAACAAATTAAAGATTAATTTCTATTTATATATTTGCATCTGAAATTTCATTAGGACCATGAATAGGTATCGATACTAATAAAAACAATTGGTCGAGTTATAGATCTAAAACGTGATGGCAATTGGGAAGAAGAAAAGTCTAGTTTTCATTAATTATTATGTTCTTTGACTTTCTCTAGAATTTATTGTCCCATTCATATCTTGACTTAATATTAAAATATAGTTCCATACATGCATGTCAGCTGTTTTCCTAAGAAATTTTTGGTCTTATGTTGGCCACCGAAACAAGTGACAACCTAAGTAGCAACCTTAGTTTTATTCCCATAGATTGATAGTACTTACTACTAATAGATAATATTGTATTTGAATATTTGTAATTTTTTTTAATGAATTTGGTTGTATAATGAGAGATAATTTTTTTTAAAAAAAATTTCTAAACTTATCTCACTTAGATACTATACGATTTGAAATTAGGATCACTAATTACTTGTGAAATGAGAAAAAAAAAAACTGAAAAAATTTGTTTTTGGAAGAAATTTATAGTATTTATAGAGAGCAAAGATAGGGAGATGAAAATTTGAGACCAATGACCTAACGTATATTACGTCATTAAATTAGTTGATACATATAATATTATAAGATTTAAC